TAAATATGCATTCGCAGTCAAGCAGCTTGGATGACAAATTATCGGCGCGCAGATTTATTTAATTCACGGCGACACCACTCGCGACTCGACAATAGGATTCATGCACTTTGTAGGGCAAAACGTCCAGCAGTTGGCACTCCTTTGTACGAATACTATCAGATATTGAGGTGTACAAAGTGTATAATTAATAAATTTCCCATACATCTTAATATATTCCGAGCAAGAGTGCCGAGCACCAGTGAATATTATAACGGGTGTCAGCTGCTGGATGTTTTCTTCTATACGGATCGTGTGAGAACACGCTCGTGAGACCCGCGACTATTTGGCGGCTTCCTCGTTAGCGAAAGGCGTCTAGTCGGTCTACGGTGAAGCATGGTTAATTAGTCCCCTCGGTGCGGCGACGAGACGACTTGCCGATGTCAGAATGCGCTCCTAACGTAACCTAATTTGCCGTCCGAACGCAGCAAAAAATCCCGTATCGAGCGGAGCTCCGTGAGAAAGAGAAGAGACGGGGGAAAGAGAAAGAGAGAGAGAGAGAGCGCGAACGTTGCACCCTAGAACTGCAGCGCGGCGAACGCGGCATGGGTGAAAGCGTGAAGGCGGTTGGTGGTTGAGGGGGTGGCGGAAGCGTGGTAAAAGAAAAATGAAAAATAAATGCGCTCGGGGCAACACGCTGCACCGCTGAGCTTGCAATGCTTTTAACTTTCCCCATAAATTTATTTACCCTCTCTCTCTCTCTCTCTCTCTCTTTCTCCGTCTCTCTCGCGCGCGCGTGCTCTCTCTCTTTCTCTCTTTCATCCGTTCCTCTTCCTTCTCTCGATCTCTCTTGCTTCTAGTCTATCTCCTGTTCCGCGATACCGCTAAAGTTTCGTCAAGGAGCAGTCCTCGTTTCCGTTTGCCTCTGTTCCTCTACTTGCGCACTCTCCTCTTCCTCTCCCTCCTCCTTCTCCTCTTCTTCTCCTTCTTCCTCCTATTTCTCTTTATCTCTTTCGTTCTCTCCTCCTTTGGGCCGACGTCTGTGCTATCTCGCGACCTCGCTACCGTTTACCCTCTTTATTCCTTGACCATTTGTTTCCTCGCTCTTTCCCTCATAGGTTATCTCTCTATTGACCTTTTTCTTCCCTCTTCTCTCTCTCTCTCTCTCTCTCTCTCTCTCTCTTTCTCGCGAACGCTCGGAATTGCGCTCAGTAGTATAGTTTCTTAAAGTCCTAAGAGATATATTATATATTGTGTACCTGAGCGTACACACACATGCACACATGTACATATACACATATACGCATACACGTCCACGAAGTCTAGCGATAAACAGGAAAATATTGACGCTGTGTCAAAAAGCCAACTTTGAGAGAACTTTAAGCGCGTGCTCCTCGGCGGGAGGTGGGAAGCGTCGTGACGAGCAATTTCGCGGCGTTAAATCATTTTAACTATCGCGTTACAGGGTGAAACAGCGCCCGGCTGCTCCACGATAGCGGAGCGCGCCGAGAAACAATTTGAATCGCGATTTTCTATCGGCCGTCGTAACTCCTTGACTCCCGCGACCCGCGTTCGCTCCCGACCCTCTTAACCCGTTTATCTATTGACTTCCTTTCTTCCTAAAGAGAGAGAATCTTTCCCAGCAGGTTTTCGAGGCACGCTTTTGTGCGCGAAGAAGCGCTGATAAATTGTTTACGACGCGAGTAAAGAAAATGTTATCATTAACCACTACGCGTCGTCGTCGTCGTTCCATATTAGTCGCGCGGAAGTATCAACAGAAAGAGAGAGAGAGAGAGAGAGCAAACGTTCTATAATTCCGTTAAACGCAACGGGGAAAACGCGAGCGCCTCATCCACTAGAAATGCAAGATCAAACGGACCTCGCTGAGTTCTCGCGCGTTCGGAAAAGCGCCTGGAAAATTGTCGCAAGTGTCGAATATTCTACATTGATTATGTATTGGCAGGATACACATTCCCTCGGAACGGGGAGCGGTCGCGCGCGTCGCTCACGTCCGGTTTCACGAGCGTTTGAAGATTAAGAGCAATTGATCGCGCAGAGCGCACGAGAGGAATTTTTCGGATCTCCGCACGGTATCATCCCAGGGATAATATTGCATCTACTCGGATCGAGGGATCAAGAATATCCGATTACTCGGAATGGACTGCCAGCGCGGTGATAAGCTGCGATCCAAATATGCTCAACCAACTTGACAAATAACGCGGCTATATATACGTAACGGCTGCGACATTTCGCAAATAACGTCGGCACAATTTGATAGTCGCGGGCGAAGCTGCGCGCGCGAATCTCGTGAGTCCGAGAATACCCTCCGACTCTGATGGAGGTACACTTTTTATTCGGTCGCTCGGATTGGCAGCATCCGAACGAGCTTCCGGCGTTTATAATCCAGATTCTACGGGAAGATTTACGGCGGCGCGGCGGGGGACAAATCGCGAGCGTCCTCGGCGTCGCGCGCGCGACGATTGATTTATTCGGGCGCGACACCATTAACGTCGTCGCCACAGCGAATATATTACGGCGTTGGCGACGGTTCGTGTAGCGATAACACTCGGAATAATAAAAATAATCGCCTCCGCGTCGCGGAGCGATCCGGGGAGCGCGAGCGGGGGAGAGCGCCGCGATGAATTTAAAAACTCGCGGTGGCCGCCCGCGAAAATTCGCCGTCGAGAGAGGCGGGGAGGGCGAGACGCGTTATCGGGACCGAAAAGTTACGGAGTCACCTCCCATATCTATTCCTGGGTCTCCGGGGCGGCGCTCCCGCGTAATTTCTGGCGCGGATCTTCCCGTGGCGGTCTTTACACGACTTTTCACTTAACCTCGAAACCCGTGGAGTTTAAAAAGGGCCGCCGCGTCGTCCCCTCCGCTCCTTCCTTCCTTTTTTCGAAGCCCGCTTTTTCCTACGACCGTACGGCGAGTACCCGCACGCGAGTCGAGAACAACGCGGCGGGATTAACAGAGGGGTGGTACCCGGCGGCCACTTCCGGTTCCACGGTTCGTGATCCGGCTCCCGGCTACAAATAAACTCCACGGCTGGTTCCGCAGCCCGGTCACGCGTAGCCCCGATGACGTCTACGGTATTCGTCCGACCGGACTGCCGACTGTCACACGACGCGCGCTCCCGCCGCCGGCGGCCACGATTATTTTATTAGTGGAAACGATGCGAAAGCGGAGCGAAAGCGCGCGAGAGCTACGTCGAAAAACACTGGCATGCAGCGCGCGAAATCGAATCGACCTGTCGCCGGTGAACTCGGCTGACGTGGGCTTGTTTGTCCGCAGGGTCAATGGGGGCGCGCCGGGTGAAATCGATATCGAGAAGAGAGCTCGCCGTGACCGAGAACGCGGGAAAATAAGCGCGCGGAAAACAATACGGCGATCCGTGCGAAGAAGCGCTTTCGCACGCAGGAAAATAATGCGCGCTGCGTTCGAGCTGTTACTTGCTTCGAGTATTTCACAAGTTCATATAGAGTAAAAATGAAAATAAAACGAGGGCTCTTAGATTAAAATCGACAAAGATAAAAGGAACAACATGAGTTTGATTTGCGATTGTTGTGCACTAATCGTTTGTTTAATAAAATTTAATCCTGAAAACCTGAAAGTTGGGCGATCCATGTACTTGAGAAACCTTGCAAATTTCATATCCCGACTTGGGGGCAAAAATCGATCATTTTTTAACATATTCATCTCTGATAAGTATAGTTGAAGGCTATTTTTTAACGGGAAAATATTCTTCGCTGAGGATAAGCCTTACTTCAAGGGAGGAAGGCAAATTTGAGCAATCGCTCTCCTCAGCGGTAGAATGATATTTTTCTCTCGTCGCTACGCGAGCATCCACTGTGTGCGTTTTGAGGGGCGGGGGTTCAAGAATATTCAATTGTATCTCGCCACGAAAAGGAGCGCGCGTTCGCTCACGGGTGAGCCGTAAATTTTGCCTGGGCTCGCGCTCGGAGAAATTTCACGGCTCCATGTCGAAGACGCGTTAACGGCGGCGGCAGCGCGTTTTAATTAAAGGCGCGTTTTAAGATTAACCGCGCGCAATATCGGGGGTCGGCAAACTCATTCTGCAAGTTGTCTCGGACGATACCGCGGGGCGTTACGTCACGCCAAAGTTCCGGGCAAAGGCTGTCGCGTCGCATACCCACCGCGGTGGACGGTATTTATCGTGTCGGATGATTTGTGAGCGCGCCGGCCGTCGCGCGCTGCGAAATAAACTTGGGGTCTGTTTCGCAGGCCAGTCACGCTCGCTCTTTCTCAAAGTCCGCGTTCTTCTAAACTCCGAGTGACGCGCGGTCCTACGTATACGGTATAGGAAGAAAGAGAAAGCGAGGGAAAGGAGCAGGGGAGAGAGACGGAGGAGAAAGGGAGAGCCCTCGTACTTTTCTATTTCGCTTCGCGTTACACGTTGCGATCGTAAAAGCTGTACCGGTTCTACACGGCCGGGCGTAACGACGATTCCCATGTCGTTTTCTTTAACGGAGTTCGTACATCCTGCACCATCCGGATAGATCTTTCGATTGTATCGTACTATTTCACCTCCATCTCTCGCGTGGGAACTTGAAAACCCGGCTCTGACCCGAGAACTGAAAGCGTAACACCGTTGGACGCAAGACAGTACGGTTGGCCTGAATGTTGACGTAGAAGAGATTAATTAATGGAAAATGATACGCGAATTATGATCGCGCCATGTTCAACACTAACTGAAACTACTCGGCTAGGTTACCACAAAGTGTTAAGGTGATGAAATTGGGAGGGAGGTGTCCGCAGGATTCATATAGTCCTTACACTCTGGGGAAAAAAGAATAGTCGAGTTAATGAGGCTTCATTTGAATAAACAAGATTTAGTCGACTGAGACAATATATTGCTGCGACGAGAGTTATCAATAGATTCAATGGTTGCGATTTGATCAATAATTATAACAGCGCAACTTATTGTTGCATTAATATATAAACTGTTCAGCAATATTTCTTTGAAAATGGGGATTCTATGTAACTCAAAAATATTGGCAAGTGTCAACGGTCATACCCCGTTGAAAGTACCAGTTCTCGTCCGATCACTGAAGTCAAGCAACGTTGGGCACGGTTAGTACTTAGATGGGTGACCGCTTGGGAATACCGTGTACTGTTGGCATTATTTTTTTTTATTTTTGATAAGTCCTCTAGTATTTCCTTTATTATTGCCATAAATTTACTCAGCGCATTTAATCAATAAAAATGTTATAGTCGCACCATATTATTCAAATGACTATTTAAATGGTTAAAGAAATAATGGTGAGAAGGGTCACTTTTCTTTCATTTTCCTCTTTCTTTTAAAATTATGTATCGTTATTTCACAACTATGTTATTATTTGGATTATATGAGCAATAGAAATTTTATAGATATGTATCGAGAAATTTTTTTGGTAATTCAAGAATACTAACAAGTGTCAACGGTCATACCCCGTTGAAAGTACCAGTTCTCGTCCGATCACTGAAGTCAAGCAACGTTGGGCACGGTTAGTACTTAGATGGGTGACCGCTTGGGAATACCGTGTACTGTTGGCATTATTTTTTTTTATTTTTGATAAGTTCTTTAGCATTTTCTTTATTATTGCTATAAATTTATTCAGCGCATTTAATCAATAAAAATGTTATAGTCGCACCATATTATTCAAATGACTATTTAAATGGTTAAAGAAATAATGGTGAGAAGGGTCACTTTTCTTTCATTTTCCTCTTTCTTTTAAAATTATGTATCGTTATTTTACAACTATGTTATTATTTGGATTATATGAGCAATAGAAATTTTATAGATATGTGTCGAGAAATTTTTTTGATAATTCAAGAATACTAACAAGTGTCAACGGTCATACCCCGTTGAAAGTACCAGTTCTCGTCCGATCACTGAAGTCAAGCAACGTTGGGCACGGTTAGTACTTAGATGGGTGACCGCTTGGGAATACCGTGTACTGTTGGCATTATTTTTTTTTATTTTTGATAAGTTCTTTAGCATTTTCTTTATTATTGCTATAAATTTATTCAGCGCATTTAATCAATAAAAATGTTATAGTCGCGCCATATTATTTAAATGACTATTTAAATGGTTAAAGAAATAATGGTGAGAAAAATCACTTTTCTTTTCTTTCATTTTCCTTTTTCTTTTAAAATTATGCATCGTTATTTCACAACCACACTGAGAGAAAAATGTATGATATTTGGAACTATAATGGCATAGTAAAAATATTATGGTTAGGAATATAATTTTTATAGTAAATGTTACCATAATATTTGTAATATTTACAATATAAGTATAGTATAACTGACCCGTATAAAATTTTTACCAGAATTATAATTATTTTATTTTTACAGAATTATAATTATTTGAAATAAAAATATGGTAAGGTGGCAAATATTGAATGGTAAGAGAAATTAACTATTTTATATAGTCAATACAATTGGAATATTTGGCAAATATAGGTACATGTAACTATATTCCCAAAAGGTGCTTTACCATATATATATAAAGTAATAAGATGGTGACTATAAATCTGTATTCATTCTACTATATCTTCATGTTTAGATGAACTATAAATATATGTTTGAGGCCAAAACGAACTATAAAATATAGTGAGATTATAGTTATTCCAACTATTTTTTTCTCTCAGTGCATGTTATTATTTGGATCATATAAGCAATAGAAATTTTATAGATATGTGTCGAGAAGCTTTCTCACAGTATCTCAAGAATTCGAGAGATCGATTTTGTCGATCCTTTCCCCTTTTCTCAAGATATATTTTCCGCAGGGTTTCAAAGAGTGACCATGTAAAATTTGGTTCAAATTGGTCAAAGGGTTTAGGAGTTTGTGTAGAGAACAGGCAAGCAGGCAGGCAGGCATTCTACCTTATATATTTAACATTAATCGTGCTTTTCAAAGCCACCCACCCCTCATTGAATTCAGGAGCGCTTTGCCCCGTCTGTGCGTGTGCGAACTTCACGCTGCAACGCGTATCCGGAGTCGCTCGCGTAACGTATAACGTTACACCCGCGCTCACTCACACCCAGTCTCACTTCCATCCTCAAAGCGTCGTCTACGTGCCTCTGTGACGGCGCGTGACCTTCGATCGACGTGTGTATAGGGGACACGGTGTCGAGGGTAGATTCATGACCGCCATCGGAGGAGCGGTCTAGTGTCGTGTGTGTGTATATAGGCTGTATGTGTGTATATAGGTACTCGCAATTTTCCCTTTACTATACACCTGCTCCGACGCGCGTTATAGTCGAGGAAAGAGAGTCCTTTATCTACGACCGCTTCTCCGTACGACCAAACGGATGGCGGGTGGCGGAGGGGCAGGGGAAGTTGCACACAGTTAAGGGCTCAGGTGCCCCGATAAAGCGGTCGATAAGGCGCTCATATCTCCACTCCTGTCTGTCGTCGGCTTCGACGCTTCTCTCCGTGTACGTGCACGTGTAGCACGTGCGTGTGGACACGTGCGGAAACGACGAGCGCGTTAGAGACGCGGTGCTGGCCATGTTTGATGGAAACCCAAGCGAGAACAGAAGAGGTCTTCTCGGGGTCTTGTCGAGATTCTTCAAACTCGGTTACGTCGTCAAGTAAGCAGACAAGCATTCAGGCAAGTAGGCAAGCGCAGGCGTTCCTGCACGATGTCGAGAGCAATTATTGAGAATCGGTTGGAACATGAGAGACGATCGTAACGATTCTCGCGACGGTCTCGATAGAATCTCAAGCTTCTTCGGCGCGGTCGGGATTTCGTTATCTCGCAGCGGAAATTCGCGTTGCTCTGTGTGCGTGGAGAATATAAGCGCATCGATGAGGGAGGAGACCCCTTTGATTTCCTTTTTCTTCCTACGGTCAGACGCTAACGCTCAAGTCTCCAATGAAGGTGGTTAACGAGTGCGCCACGTACTCTGCGCCGTGTAAAAAATTAGCTCAGCGTGATTGCTAATTCTATTCTATGGAGCTTCGTTTGCGGAAATATAATTTAAGTATTACCGCGCGTACATCGTGTGGCAAATTGAGGACGAGATCGTGCGACTGAGCGAGCGAGCGAGCGAGCGAGCGAGCGAACGGGGCTTCGCTTATTAGAGGCCATTTGTCTCGATTGGGGGAATAATTACGCAACGTTTCGTCGCTCATTGGTTTATTGGACTCGACTAAATCGAACAGCCGGACGCGAAGGGAAACACGCGCGCGATCCGCGCTATTACGTGACCGTCGATATCCTGAAAGCCACGTGTCGCTAGTTCGCACCTCGCGAGGCACGTTGAAGTGTTTCCTGTGCGAGAAGCGCCGGAGGGTAATTCTCCACAGATTCTCGGCAAGGATAGGGAAGAGGACGGAGCGCGCTTTTCTGTTTTAGACGAAAGATTAAGTGCAATAATTGCAGCGACAGCTGTCAGAGATATCAGCAAACACATCTCTTATAATGTATTCATAATCATTAGAAAATAAAAAGTAAACTCTTTCACTCTTTCTTTTTTATAATAACATACTGCAAAAAGTAGAATCTTGGATAATGAGATATTATAATATGAAAGACAAAAAATAAAAAAGAGCTTACTCTTTATCATAAAGTTGTTAAGGCAACTTTTGTTTATTGAATTGCACGAAAGTTACAAGTAGAAACAAACACGTCGCTTTTACACCCACTGCAAGAGATTTGGAAATATAAGACGTAGTGATGTGGAATATCTTGTTAAAACAGGAAAACAATCTCTGAATCTTGTTCGAAAAATTCTAACAGGAGGGAAACAAAGCGTCTTCTCTTAACTTTGGCTGCATTCAACAGAGAAAGTTGCTTTGCAACTGTTGTAAAATTTGTGAATCTAATTAGTACATGCTCTTGAATTCAATCAAAATTAAGAGCATACTCCAATTAGATTCACGAATTTTACAACAGTTGCAAAGCAGCTTTCTCTGCTGAACGCAGCCATTGTAAACAATGTGGCACTGACTCCTTATTGATGGTCAATGAGAATCTTAATCGTTATGCTTATCTCAGTTACTGACGGATTGCAACAATCATTTAAAAAGCCTTGTTTTGTATCACCACCCTGTTTTATATTACCACCTTCTTTGCTAATTGATAAATTGGGGGTGGGAGAGGACAGGAGATTCGTTCTGCAGGGCAGACGACAGATTAAGAACGTTCTTAACGAACGCGTTAAAAAGTCTGACGAAGGAATTACGCGAGCCAAGGGAGATTACACGCCGTGGTTGCTTGAATTTACGCTCCCCGCCGAGTTTCAGGATGAGCAGAGGTCTCTCGCAGATCGATGGACGGGGGTCGATCGATGAATCGATCGAGCGCGATCGACCGATAAGTTTCTTGCGGAAGTCAAGTGAGCTCGGGCCGAGATTGATTAGAAGGAAGGAGCAGTGTCGTGGCTGCTCGCGAGCTTTAGTAAAGGGCGGGGGAGAGAGGTAGCAGTTAAATAGATTACATTTCGTTACCTTCGGCCGCGCGGTAAGGAATGCGCGCGGCTAACGCGGAAACAAGCTTGCGGTGGACGACTCGACGGAACGCGGAATTAGTTTCGTTAGCTGGATAGCCGGAGCGGAGATTTTACGTTGTTGCGCGAGAAGCGGTATCTACGCCCGGATAGCGTTACGTGACCGAAATTTCCAACGAGTCCGCTCATAAATTTCCCCGCGATTATTCAGCGAATCCTATCCGGGACTCTTTGTCCTCACAGAGACCGAGCCGGGACGAGGTGAGGCGAGGTGAGGCGAGTTGAGCCGTGGCGCATCGTGCGAAATGATAAAACCGACTGGGGCCGTCCGATAGGAAACCGCAACTAGGGGAGAAACGTCCAGTAGCTGGCACTCGTTACACCAATTTTCGGCACTCTCGTTCGGATCCCACCCGACATCAAAAGGTGTACGGGGATCTATTAATCATTTATTAATTATTTGCCAATTATTGCACCGAGAGCCAGAGCTTTGCTAATTTAACAAAATATCAGCAAATGGTAATTGTAATTTGTAATGGTAATGTAAATTAATAATGGTTTGTTGACATGGGACAGCAAATGAACCCGTAGTGAAGAACAAACTTTCAATTTGCTGCTCCAAGTAACACTTCCGTAATGAAGACACTACTAACCTAACCTAATTTAAATAACCTAAATAGA